GGTACACTGTAGTAGTAAGAAGTCACATCTAAGGATGAATGACACCAAGGAAGAGACAAAAAATGACAAAGAACAGACAAGACAATAGGCTCGGGAGTCTAATTATTTAAATAAGACCAGAGCCTTCCAGAAGAACATCTCTGCATTAGAACATGAACATAATTTAAGATCACAGCAATAATTATAAGTCATCAAGAAGAAATTAAGTAATGTACAATGTACTTCAACATAGACTATAAGAAGTACTATTCATTTCTAAAATAAAATAATTAAAATAATATGCACTCAAAATTTTAAATATGATAGTTTCAATTTTCTGTAAAACTAACTTCAATTTATTTCTAACCAATGATGGATTAAAGGTTGCTATTGTACTTTTGACCCTCTCTTAAATTGGCATTATAAACATGTATTCCCACTTCCTTTTATATCTACTATTCTGTTTCTTTTGAAACCATTTTTAAATTTCATGTCAAATATTTTCACTTGAAAATGCAATTTTAAAATTATAATACCAAAAGAATGAATTGGGAAATATGTTTCATTACCACCTAGAATCAACATTATTCTCAAGTTAAATCCTAAAAATGGCCCAATACAGGTGATAGATACTAATATACTGGGGGGGAATAATTCTTACCCTTCTTTACAATTTTTAGTGATTCCATAATAATGAGTGAATGATTCTCATCCCAACCCTCAATAGCAATGTGAGGACCATTTCATCATTAGATTTATGAGATTTGTATGTAAGATGCATTTGGATCTCAGAAACTGAAGACCATTAACAATTAGGCAGCCTATTCAAAGGAAAACAGCAATTTATTTGTAAAGAGTGGCACTCTACATCATGATCTCTACATCTGCCATTCCAAAACACACATAGATCTATGAGAGAGAGAGAGAGATTGGACATAGAATTGCAGAATCCATGATCTTCAAGTTCAACATCAGAATCTATCACCCTAAGTAGATGCTTTCTCATGTGGTACACACTTTATGCTATTACGTGGTACACACCTTATGCTTCACAGATCTAAAGAACAGAATCTCAAACAAGAAAGAATTCCTGAATTCAATGGATATTTTTGTTCTTCTTGAATGTTATGACACATAACTGATGTTACTGACACTAGATAGTATTTCCCAGGGTATATTTCTTATATTTATTTTGTACCTTACCTGGTAAATGCCCTCTAACCATGTAACTGATATCCTCCCAGGCTGACTTCCTTCAAATTACTTTTCCACCCTCCCCTCAGAGCCTGTAAATCCAGTTAAATGAAAGAAATTTAAATCTGTTCCTTTCCTGTACTTTACTAGACTAAGAATCTTTATGTCCCTGTCTTGGTCTTGAGAGAGTAAATTCTTGCCAAACAGAAAGAGTTTCACATCACTTGATGGTTGTGAAGGGCATAAATAGAACACACAAAAGATGCAGTCTCTTCTCTGTTCCCAGTCTTAATGTGAGAAGAGTGCTCACAATAGTAGAAAGTGAGTCCTGCTTTTCCTACTATTGTTAGCCGAATAAAAGTAACTGTCCAATTTACTTTGCACTTATTCCTTTCTCTCCTTGCCTATTCACAGGAAACCTAGAGGGATTTAGTATGATTTGACCACCTGAGGAAATGAGAGACTGGAAGATGTAGACTAAAGGAATCAGGAGTTCATAAATATGTAACAAGTAAAAAGGGTGAATGTATACCCAACAAGGTAGAAAAGGTGCCAGTGACCAACTAGATACATGGCTCATCTGCAAAATTCATGGTTGCTAACCAATAAGGTAACAGCATCCAATGACCAGAGGAAATGTTTAATGTCTAGCAATTTCTCAGATACTTTAAATGACATTGAGACTTGTGGAGTTCCCTCCCTCAAGTGTTCTGCAGAAGAAAGCGTGCTTCTCTTAAATTCTGAGACTGTTCCTACCTCAGCAATAATGAAACTTTATAAACTTCAATACAAATTTAGGGACCATCATATTTCATCACACTGTGTTCCAAATGGTGGTAACTCCAGAACCTAATACAGAGGGTATTGGGGTGGAAAAGGTAGTTGGAGGGCGGAATAAAATCTGCTTTGGAAGCAGCTTTTCTATAACTAGATCATTGTGTTTACATAGATTTTACACAGCTTTGGGGAGAGGAACAGTCTCCCCACCAAAGCCACCACAGGTGCCACCATTGCTTCATAAAACTATTCTGCGAAATGAAGTATAATGAAGAGGCAGGAGGAATTTGCCAGACTCCGTACTTTTAACCCTATCTGTCTATGGGTCAGAACCCAACAAGACGGATTTCTAGGATTTTTACTCAAACAAAGTGATTTCTCTCAATCTACTCAAATAGATAAATAAAACTTTAAAAGCAAAAACAAAACAAACACATACTTTTTTAGATGCTCTTGAATTGAAAACTGAAGAGATTTTCCTCCAACTTTGTTTGCTTCGGAAGATGTCTAGAAAATGCGTGCCATCTTTTAACTACTTATCTATTTATTAGTAATGTCTGTCACTGATTGTTTATTTAGCATCTACTTTGTATTTACCTCTATGAAGGGTAATAGGAGCTATTAAAAAGTTTAAGTAAAGTCCATATTTAGGAACAAACTTTTAAAAATTCCTTTACCTTTTTAAATTGAATTATAATAGACACAAAACATTGCATTCATGCTGGGTGAATAGCATAAAGATTCAATCTTTGTGTGTATTGGGAAATGACCACCACAGTGAGTCTAATTAACATCCATCACCATAGTTACAATTTTTTATTGTGATGAGAACTTTTAACATTTACCCTTAGTGACCTTCAAATAATGCCATACATTACTATTAACTACAGTTGCCATGTTGTGCATTACATCTCGGTGACTTACTTATTTTGTAACTGGAAATTGATACTGTTTGACCCCTTTGTCCATTTCACTCAGCCCCCTGCACTCTGACTCCAGAAACCACTAACATTTTATTTGAGATGATAAGAATGATAAAAATAAAAGAATTACATAACTAAGTATAAGGAGATAATATTAACTCCAAAATTTAGGGTAGGAACTCAAGTTATTTTTAAAAATTAAGGGAAGAATGGAAGTAATTTGGCCAGCATAATCAGGGAAATGTTAATGGATTCGGTAAAACAGATTTAGAAGGTGAGTATGATTGAAGGAAGAAAGAAGACATCTTCCAAAAGAGTTAGGGAAGAAGGAAACATGAGCAAGGAGTTAGAGGCAAGACTGAGGCTAGCACAATAAAGAAAATAGCAACATAAAACTTTAGATTTCCATCAGAACCAAGTGTTTTTCCTTTGTTAGCCAGACTTTTGGGCACCAAAGGAATCCCAGACAGTATTCATGTCGATAGAAAATAAGAACATGTGCCCAAACAACTAGTGCATGTAAACTATAGTGTCTACTCAGCACTGACCTTGAACCTGGAGAAAGCTGGGAAGCCAGGCATTTGCTCTCAGGCAAGGGCATCTTGTCATGAAACTCTCAGTTCCCAAGACTTGAGCTTTATCCAGGCAAAATCTTCACTTGAATCTATCTAAGTATGCTTTTATTTTTATGTTTTTTAATGTTGTTCAGTTAAAGCTGTCCCCATTTTCCCATTACTCTCCCCCGCCCTACCACCCCCATCTCCCACATTCAGTCCTCCCTCCCCCATTGTCCTTGTCCAGGGTAGCTAAGTGTGCTTCTAAATATTTGACAGAATCCATGAATCTAGTGCTGAAGTTTCTGTTAGCTCATGCCACCAGAAGAGGCCACCACACCGTGCCTGATTCTTTCATGTGGTGAGTAGAGAGTTAGATATTCTGCCTGAAGGACCTTTAGAAACATGGTAGAGAAGGCAGAATGAAAGTCTCCTTTGACAGTGAAGGATTCCAGTTAGCCCCATATCTGAGCAGAGGTGACAGGGGCAGCGTGCTGGGCAGGTATGGCAGAACAGGAAATCATGGCTATGGGGAAGTTGATCACTTCTAGAAACTAAAAGGAACTCAGAATCTGGGTCTGGCCATGACCCTGATCTAATGCTAGGGTAGGAAAAAAACACTTCAGTACTACAAGCGGCTTAAAAAAATGTATCTGATAATTGCCCTTCCCCACAATGATATAAATAAACAAGTCTTTTGAGCAAATTATGAATCAGAATTCTAGAATCTCCATGCTTGTCACTTGATGAAATAAATGAAAAATAGTTAAATGCTCACAAAATGAAATGCTGAAGGGAAGGAGCCCTACGCTGTGAACCTCATAGAGTCATCACCAGGGGAAAAGTCAGTAGATCCGACATGACTGGCTCAGCTGTCAACCCCACCACGCTTTCATCACCAGTGGTGCTTGGATGCAGAAGTGAGGACCAGTGGAGCCCAGTTTGCTGCACCGCAGGCTCTGCCCTCCCCATGCCCCAGACACTCTAGATTACCTGAAAGAGAGCAAAGTGTGGCCTGGCTGCCTACCTCTCCCCGACGCGGCACCCCTCCCCCACACCTCACTCCTCCCCCACGCCCCATCCAGCTATGCTTCTCTAGTGAGTGTGGTGCGTAGTTCAAAGAAAATGTAAGAGAGGAATGACAGAGAAATATCTGAGCAGTACGTGTCCTGAGAAAGACAACAAACTATTAAAGGCGAAATAAATGGATAAGATCATTAAGTCCTACTTAGTAAATGCTTTCCAAGAATATAGAAATAAATGTGCCCACTATTATGAAGTTTCTACAATGCTCATATTTCAACTAAATATGGAGTAGGACACAATGCAAAAGTCAATCCAAGTCCACAAAATTTAATATTCAAAGATACAGCTACACATAAAGAGATGAAATGATAAGTAGAAATTTTCCCAGTAATGCAAGAATGATCTCATCCCATATATGCAATTTAATTTACCATTAGGATGAAAAAAAAGGAAAAATATACACAGTCTTCTGCACAAATGCAAAAAGTATATACAACATTCAATTCCTATTTATGATCACGAGAAAAGAACTCATAAAACTGAAAGTATGCTTACCTGGCAGGGGAGATACCACGATCACAAAGGTGGATTTCCCAGGTCGAGGCTCACCCATTGTACTTGGGATGTACTGACCCCTGTGACTTCACCAAATGTGGGAAGCTTGATTGCATGATTTGTGGTCGTGGGGGACTGAAGTGGCGCTCTCCCCTGACAAAAAAAAAAGAAAACTGAAGCAGACAATTCTCCTACTTTGATAAAGATTATCATAAAGTGCAGCAAATGTCATGCTTCATGGAGAAACCTCAGGTAATTCCCTTTAAAGTCAGGAATTAGACAAGGATGCTTAGTACTACCACTATAGTTCTAGAGAGAACATGAAATTTCCTTAAGATAATATAAAATAAAATAATTTAATTGAAAAAGAACACATAAAAACATTTTATGTGCAACCGATAAATAATTCTAACACTGAACAACCAAGAGAATCTTCAAACTATTACAACTATTAGGAGTATTCATCAAACTTGTTAAACATAAGATTAACATGCAGAATAAAAATGAACATTCCTCAGCACCGGTGGTTCACAACTGTTTGCCTGCCTGCAGATATTTGGGAATATGCAGAGACATTCTGATTGTCACAGTTGGGGATGTGAGGAGAAGGTTCCCGTGGCATCTAGTGGGCAGAGGCCAGAGATGTTGCTAAACGTCCTGCAGACCCCAAGACAGCTTCCCACAACAAAGAAGTATCCAACCCAAAATATCAAAAATAAGGCTGCTGAGAAGCCCTGCTTACACCAGTAAAACAACCAATGAGAAAATATAATTTTTTAAAAGATGCCATCTATGATGGCAATGCAGACTGCAAAGCATTTGGGGATTGAACTAACAAGATACTTATGGTAACTTAATGGGAAAAATGCTCTTACATGCTCTAGAAGAAAACCTGAATTCATGGAAAAATATTTTATATGCATGAATAAATATATTTGCATAATATTATAGGTATTATTGATTGTTTCCTAAAGTAACCAATTCATTTTTTAAAATTCAACATTGAAAATCACCATTATCTGGAGAATTTTTTAATCTGGTTCTAAAGTTTTAAATAGAGAATTAGTCAGGAAATCTTACCCCATATTATTTGAATACTTGGTAACTTCTTCCCCCAAAAATGCAATAAAAGGCAGATGTAGAAACAAACTGAACTGGTATTTAAGGGAATTGGAATTTCTTAGTCCAGTGCAAATTGTAGTAATCCTCCCTATATAGAGTTTAACCTCTTTGAAGATAACCAAGTTTTTCACATAAAGAATAAAATTATATGTCTCTACTGGCAAGAAAATTAACAATAGTAAATTTAGTAATAGTAGATTAAAACAATTATTACTAAATAGTAAATTTAGTAATAGTAGGTTAAAACAATAGTAATGATACTGTAACATTGCTGTTGTTTAAAGTACGCATGCCAATAGCTGCACACTAAAAGAAGACTGGAGGACCAGACAGAAAGTTTCAAATGTCATTTTTTTTGTTCTTCCCTAACATGGCACGCTAGTAATTCTGGTGCATGTTTTATATCAAAACTCCGAAACTCTGATCTCTCAGAAACTCATTAATCTGCATTAATAGCCTTTCTGGAAAGCTCTAAGTTTAATCAACTCTTATTTGATAAGGGTCTCTAACGCTTTCAGTGATGGGAGACACACAGAGCAACAAACTATTTCAGAACCATCAGCATTTTCTAAAGTCATGTCAGATGTTGATAAAGTGAAATTCCTCATACAATACAAGAATGTAATTCTCAATTCTTTATCTACTGAGAAGGTTAATAAAATAGAAGGCCTTCAAAATGTTATCTAAATACTTGGAGATAACTTATTAAAACATAATATTTTTTATAATCTGGATATTTTTATATTCCGATAGCACAGGCTGTTTTCTCGCTGACCTGATGAACTGTAGAAGTCACTGTTAGGCTTGGTTTTTAAATGTCTATCCACCACAGTAAAGATGATAACGGTAGTTACCCGCTTCTTTTTGCAGCAAATGCTCTACCTCTGAGCTGTACCATAGGAGTTTCTGCAGCTTCTTATAATCCTTTACATCAATCATTATATCCTCACAACTCTAAGAGGCTGAAGAAAATACAGATGCTGCTTTTACCAACCAGGAAATGAAACTCAATGACCTTACATTCAGACGTCTAGAAAGTAACGGAATTAGAATCAGACCCTGGTACGCTGCCCTTCTACCACATTGTGTTGGACAAGAACCACGGTGATCTGAGTAAAGCTGCTCCAGGAAAAGAATTAAAAACACATGGACGCAAGTCAGGCTTAAAGGAATTTCTTAATATAATTTATTAATTAGATACATAACTAATGAACTGTTCTTCACATGAAAAGTTAACATAAAAAGTTTGATAGCTGCTGGCCAGCCATCAAAACAAAATGTTTGCGATTTGATTTCTCCTGGGTTGGGATGGCTTTTTACCAGTTGCTATTGCTTTTCTTCTGTGAATAATCTGATCTATAATATCAGGACAAACAGAGGGACCTGCTGTGGGCAGAAGGCAGTTTATGGCTAGTAGACTAAAGATTCTCAGGGATAAGGATGTCTTATTCTTCTGTGTCCCCAGTACCCCATTTAATACCTATATACAAACTGAACTTATATGGGTAAACATGAAATTTTAAAGTACAGGTTTCCCCGCTTTAGACTGCCATATGTGTAAATTGTACATAATATACACACGTTTCTTTAAATTAAATTGTGAAATCCAATGGACTGGTCCTCCGCTATGACCCACTGACCCAAAAGCCTGCACAAATTTGCACACTTTATGAATTCACCAATTGTGCCCAGCGCTCATGAAATTACTCATTTGACAACACAGGACTCAAAGCCTTCTGCTTTTTCCCACATCCATATTATCCCTTTACACCTAGTGTTCTTTCCCCTCTTTGTCCTCCTGCAAAACAAAGTCTTCCTCTTTTGTCAAAACACAGACCAAATGTCACTTTCTTGTAAAGCTGTTCTGACTGCCACCACAGGGCAGACTGCAGGAGTAAGTCACCCCTTACTTGAGACCGCCCTCACACCGGTCACTGCCCTCAATTCCTGCAAAACCAGAGAAGATCTGGGCTGTAAGTGACCAGTTTTAGGAGGGGCTACTCATACGGGAGGGCTGAAGAGAAAAGAACACAACTATTCTCATTTGACGTTATTTGAATAAGCTATTTCAATGAAGCCCTGTGTTTAAACAAGAAATTTTTGTGCATAGGGACCTTCATTTAAGGGGTAAAATTAATTGGTTAGCTCTAACAAGAGTGTTCTAATGTTATAGAATCCTCTTTTACTATCTTGTAATTTCCATGTGTAACATCACTATAAGCTAAATGTGAAATAACTGTGGCAGGGAAGACCAACTAGCAATTTTATTGCTTAAAATTCTACATAAAATGCATATTATTACCCTCAAACAAAAACATGAGTTAACTAATATCTTATCTTCAATATTATTATTATTAAATTTTTTTTATTTTTAATTACCAAGTCTGACTCCACCTAGACTGCATTCAATCTTTTCAGATCGAGTTTTTGTTTTAGTTTTCATGCTTAAAGCCATGGTATAACAAAAATGAATTTCAAAAAGTAATTTTATTTTTGTAGACATTGGATTGTTTTACTTAATTAACCATAAGGTATAATTAAGGCTTAAGACTTTGGATCTGATCGTATTTTAGCATGCATAAATATTTGAGAACTCTGACTTAGAGTGTGAAGTCGAGATTTATAAATATAAAAGGATATCTCTTGACCTCCGATTTCAAGTGGTTAAAACACTGAATTACTTCTGGGAACTCAAGTACTAAAAGGAATATGACTCAATAAATTGCTAATATCCTTCTTTGGAAATTTGTGTGATTCTCTGAACATAGAAATATTTGTGTTTTAAAAGCAGATAGAGACTTCCGCCAAGATGGAGGCGTAGGTGGAAGCACTGTGCCTCCTCCCACAACCAAGTTTAAAAACAATAAAGTTTTAGCAACAAAAACGTAGCCAAAACCACAGAAAATTGAACTTCACGGAAGTCTGACAAAAACAAACACTTCAGCCAACCCGGTAAGAGGGGCAGAGCCAGCAGTATAGCGGGGTCGGCCAGGAAAGATCCACCAACCAACCTAGGCGCACAACCCAGGTGTGCTGGCAGCTGTAGGTGGATCCCAGGTGTGGAGAAGCGGGCAGACCCACTGAGGGCTGACCAAAGTCACATACTTGTGCGCAGATAAACTGACGGAGGAAGGAGCAGTGAGACAGACCGTGCAGGCCCCAGTGGCAGGAAGCGGCAGAGGGGACCTCCATTGTCCCTCCCTGCCCCCACCTACAGCATCACAAACTAGCAACCTGGGTAGCCCTGCCCTGGTGAACAACTTAGGCTCCGCTCCTCATACCTAACAGGTATGAACAGATCAAAACATGGCTCAAGAAGAACTTAGAGCCTCAGATCCGATAAATCTAAGTGACCAAGAAATAGTCAAACTTTCAGATGCACAGTTCAAAACATTGGTGATCAGGATGCTCACAGAACTGGTTGATTTTAGCCACAAATTAGAGGAACATATGAAGGTGAAACTCATTGAAATGAATGGGAATGCACAGGAAACCAATAGTAATGGAAAGGAAACTGGGACTCAAATCAAAGGAGTGGACCAGAAAGAGGAAAAAAATGACCAAACAGAAAGAATGTAGAAACAAGAATTCAAAAAAATGAAGAGAGGCTTAGGAACCTCCAGGACATCTTTAAACGTTCCAACATCAGAATTATAGGGGTATCAGAAGGGGAAGAGAAACAGCCATGAGTGGAAAACTTATTTGAACAAATAATAAAGGAGAATTTCCCCAAGCTGGCAAAGGAAATAGACTTCCAGGAAATCCAGGAAGCTCAGAGAGTCCCAAAGAAGTTGGACCCAAGAAGGAACACACCAAGGCACATCATCATTACATTAGCCAAGATTAAAATGAAGAAGAGGATCCTAGACGCGGCAAGAAATGAGGGGACAGTCACCTACGAAGGAGTTCCCATCAGACTGTCAGATAATTTCTCAAAAGAGACCTTACAGGCAAGAAGGGGCTGGAAAGAAGTATTCCAAGTCATGAAATCTAAAGACCTACAACCAAGATTGCTCTATCCAGCAAAACTTTCA